CTCAGTGACTTTTCTGCCAGGGCTGGCTTTGAACTGAGATCCTTAGATCTCATCCTCTTGAGTAGCTAGGATGACAGGTAAGAGCCTCCAGCACCCAGTATAATGGGTGTTGTGTACTAAAACTGGCACATATACTAGAAATTGGAGAAATACAATATTTAATTATTATGTCATCTAATTTCATAGCTTGTTTACTTGTTTGTTTTGGGTTTCCTTAGACTTGGATCTTAGGAATTCAAGTAGGTAATTGAATAGTGAAAGGGAAGCAACTAAAGGAAGAGAAAAGTAAATAGCTTCGATAATCTATACTTTAATCCACCTCCTTATTTTTGTGAGTTAATTGGATTCACCCACCATGAAATGGAGTCCTGTAAAGTTTTCCTAAGTAACCTCAACTTAGTTTTGCCTTCCTGTAAAAAACTGTGCCCAAGTTTGTGAGGTTTGTTATAACACACCAGTAATGCCTTAGAGCTCAAAGCAGAAAATCAAATAGATGTTTGGGGGAATTTCAGCTGTGTGAGCAGAAATGATTAGAATGGTAGTCTCCACATCTAGTTTCTTATATCCTGTGTATTTTGTTCATGGATATTTCATTGTCTTAAGATGACAGTTTACTAGTTTGCATCAAAAAATATATATAATCACATTTCCCATGCATAGCTTTCTGTTTTGCTTCTGTATAGAGTTTCATTAAGTACTGACAGTATGATTACTTTTATCTTTTTTGTTACTTCTTAGAGTAGTTAATTTTGGGATAAATTACTTCATTCAAAGATTTTTCTAAGTCTTTTCAATCTTTAATGCTAAATTTACACAGTTCTTAAATTCACAAAGTGGAATTTTATTGTAATGCTTAATTTTTGCGTATAAGTATTTGTTGTTTTGATACTAATACTCTTGTCTGTGGATTTTGGTCCTTCCATATGCCATGAGGTTTTGATGGGGCTTCTGTGAAAGTTATTGCATTGTACATGAGGATTGAAACATAACTGAAGTCTGGCTGTGACTGAGATGAGCACTTAATCCAAGTTGAGTGAGTTAGACTCTTTGGGACGATACATCCAGATCCTGGAAAATAGAAGAAATATGCATGATGCTGTTCCAGTTATGTCCTCTATCAAAGAGAGGCTTCTATCTTTTTTTTTTTTTTTTTTGTCGATCATGGGGCTTGAACTCTGAGCCTGAGTACTGTCCCTCAGCTCTAGCACTCTACCACTTGAGTTACAGCGCCACTTCTGGTTTTTTGGAGGTTTATTGGAGATAAGAGTTTTACAAACTTTCCTGCCCGGGCTGGCTTTGAACCGCGATCCTCAGATCTCAACCTCCTGAGTAGCAAGGATTATAGGTGTGAGCTACTGGCGTTCGACTTGAGGCTTCTATCTTTAGTTCAAGAAAATGATAAAAAGTACAGAAAGAAGCACAACTGATAAACTGAGATTCTTGATCCTGCCTGGTTGCTTGATATCCAATGTAGGCCCCCACCTCTAATCTTGCCAGTTGTATGAACAATAAATAATGTTGAGTTTTGTTCATCATTTTCAAACAAAATGGCACTTGAACAGAGGGAATGATCCTAGAATGAGTTTTCCTTAGTAACATTTTTCCTTCAAAGAAAGTTTGTAAGTAAAGAAATAATATTATCTAGTCTGTGCATAGAGTTATTCATAATCAATTCAGAGTTTATTCAGAGTGGTTATTTATAAAATGGCAGAATAAGACCAGTGTAGAAGTGACATGTGCATTCCATAATATGGATTCCCACTCACCACGACTGACCTGGCTATTGCTATTGTGAACTAGTCAGTTTTCTAAATCTTTAATAAGCAAGAGAACCTGGGTACTCAGTGATCCTTCTAAGAGATTAGCTAGTTACTAAGTTATAGGTCAGTTACACTGAGTTTCTTCCATGTGGAGACCTTTAGTCTCCAAAATATTTATTTTGGATTTGATGTTTATTTTGTCTTCATTCCCATAGTGTTTAAATCATATCAACTATCTATTAAACATGGTTTTACAGTTTGTTTAAAACATTCAATACTCCATGCAAATCACCAGTTATTCTCATAGAAGAAGCAACTCCATAAACTTGAATCTTTTCATGTACCCAAGTAGTAATGGGGTGTTATGTAGAATTACTTATGATTTAAAATTACCAGGTTATCATTTAGAATAATTTTAGCAGTTAAAAACAATCAAACTGACCTCAGTATAAGGATTGGGTAGGGTAACCAGATTTTCAAAAGATTGAAAACCAATTCCTGGAAAAGCCAGGAATTAGAACAGTTTTGCTTATGTCTACAATGAGGTGTAATACCATCAGTGATTCAACTGAAAGTGAAACTAATTTCTCCCCTCCCCCCTTTCTATGTACACTAAAGTTTCTGGGAGAAGTTGGTTGTTTTACTTTGGATCATGTACTCTTCTGTGATGAGGGTAGAGGGAAGTTCATTGTATAAGTAATACATTCATACATTAACAGTGAGTCAATAAGGACTTGTCTATAGTAGCTACCATTGTTTTTTCCCTGAGTTTGTTGTATGCCTCCCCCATTAATGGTCCTTAATACCCATCATGATACAAAGAATCTTTCTGTTAGCTGTATGGTGGAATATATGATCCAAGCTGTAGTAAATGTATCTGTATGCTACTAAGGTAACTTTTTCTTTTCTTTTTTAATAAGTTTTTTATTGTGAAAATCCTGTACAGAGGGGGTTACAATCACATGAGCAAGGTAATGAGTACATTTCTTATCAAGCATTATTACCTCCTCCTTTGTTTTTTCCCTTCCATTCCTTCCCTTCCATCTCCACAACTACACTCCTCCTGCCCCCCCCCCCCCCACTCACCTGAATTGTAAAGTTCATTTTTCCACACAGAGTCTTGTACATCTCATTGTTGCAATCGGTCCACCTGTATCCCTATTTAAACAATTGTTTTTTCCCTTCCCCTCTCCAAATTATACCAACATCAAATAAAGTGAAAACAGTGGTTATACCGGGGGAGGGTATACATAAATATACCAACATCAAATACAGTGAAAACAGTGGTTATACCGTGGGGGAGGGTATACAATAGCAAGAAAGGAAAAAACCACTTGTGTCCATACCCTGGGGTTCATTTCACTTAACATCATCTTATCTGACCTTTTCTGCTTGACTCAGACATATACTAGATATTGCAAATAAGGGAAACTATGGAACCTATGTTTCTTTGCACCTGCCTTATTTCACTTAATATAATTTTTTCCAAGTCTTTCCATTTCCTAACAAATGGGGCAATGTCATTCTTTCTGATGGAAGCATAGAATTCCATTGTGTATATATACCACATTTTCTTGATCCATTCATCTACTGAGGGGCATCTGGGTTGGTTCCATATCTTAGCTATGGTAAATAATGCTGCAATAAACATGTTTTGTGCTGGTAGCTTTAGTATGGTCTTGTTTGTGATATTTGGGTAAATGCCCAAAAGTAGGATTGCTGGGTCATAGGGGAGCTCTATGTGGAGACTTTTGAGGAACCTGCATACTACTTTCCAAAGTGGTTGAACAAGTTTACACTCCCACCAACAATGCAGTAGGCTTGCCTTCTGTCCACATCCCCTCCAAAGGTGACCTTTTCTAATGTTAAAATGTAACAGACATCCTATATCATACTGAAATTCATTATCTGTTATAGATGCTTCTGTAGGGATAATTATAAATATACATATTTCAGTATTTTAATAAATGTAATAACTTACTAAGTGTAATACATTAAAACATTGACTTCACATCGTGGAAGTGTTTTAGTGTGAGTAAAGCAGTGTTGTTATCTTGATTTTATAGACATGTTGACTCTGGACCAAGGACAGTTTTTGCTTATGGTAAAATATGTAAACCACGATGTTGGTAGTTGTTTAAATGAACCAAAGATGGGTGAAAATGTCTTATAACACATAGAAATATAGTAATAAAGCCATATCAATTAGGATTGTAATTATATTTAGTGTGCCTAGGCATATATTTGATCATTTATGTTCTTAGGGAGCCAAATGTCTGTCACACTGAAATCTTACACCTGTATGCTTTACTTTTTTTCTTAAAGAATTTATTGTATATTTATTTTGAAATTTGGGCTTTACTTCTGTATTCCCTAATGAATACAGTTTAGTACATAAACTGAATCTCACCTCCTGTTTGGTAGCTGGGTCCTGATACCATAATGATTTAGACTCAGCAACAATTTTGCTTATAGTTATAACTAAGTTCAATTACTCTGTTTATGATATTCTAGCCATGTTACCATGAGTGACAAAATATAATCAATCATGAAACATTTTAAAGATAGACATTTAAATAATTTTATGTTTATTATATACTTAAGATAGAAAATACAATATTTTGATAAGCATGTGTATAATAAAGTAATTACAATTGTCAAACTTAACTGAAAGTTTGTGTCTTTTAACCTCCATCTTCCCATTTCCTTCACCTCCTCCCATTCATCCTCTGGTGACCATCTTTTGCTCACTCCTTCTATGTATTTGAGCTTTTGAATCTGTTTACTTGTTTATTTATAAGCAATTTATAAATCTCACCCACAATGATAGGATCATTGTTACCAACAAGAAAAGAGGTTATTAAGTGTTAGAAAGAATAGGAATGTTTCTAAATAATTTTAAAATAGAATTCCTCTGTGACTTAGTTATTTGTCCTCTAGGCAGATACTCTGAGGAAATAAAATCACTACATTAAAGGATAACTATACCCTAATTCCATCAGAGCATTATTTACTGTAGCCAAGAGCTGTACATAATCCATGTCCATATAAATGGCTAAAGAAAATATATGTACAACAAGTATGAAATATCTATTTGAATCTTATTGCCAGTCACATAAAATATTGTTTTATGTGGATTTCCTTGTTTCAATAAGCTATCTAGAAGGACTCTTAATTTATTAAATGAAAATTTAGTTTCTTTAGTTATTCTTATAGCTGGAATAATGTGCTAAATAAAACGCTAGCAAATGCTTTAATGCTGATAGACCTAATTGATAGATCAAACTATTCAGTGGATCAACAGCTGGCATGATTATATATTCAAAACACCAAGCAATATTTAAAATGTCTATGATACTATATGCTTCATTTCATACATTAGCATCAAATGCTTTTTTAAAAAAATTAGGAGTAACAGTGGGAAACTATTTAAATAGGTCATTCATAATTGAATTTGATGCATGTTGTTTATTTTTCTTGTTCTATGAGCATCTTGGCTGGATAGTTATGAAAAATAAACTGAAAACCTGCATAAATTTACCTAGAATTGGAGTACTACTAATGCAATACTACAATGCTAATACTAACAATACTAGTGCTAATACTACAAATACTGATAACATGGAAAGTTCATAAGATACCTGACTTGAAAATGTATATTATTGCTACAATAGAGTGGTAAAAAAAAATTAAGGAGCAGGTGCTGGGAAGATGGCTCAGTGGTAGAGAGCTTGCCTTGCATGCCTGAGGCCCTGGGTTCGATTCCTCAGCACCACATAAGCAAAATGAAAAAAAAAAAAGCTGGAAGTGGCGCTGTGGCTCAAGTGGTAGAGTGCTAGCCTTGAGCTGAAGAGCTGAGGGACAGCGCCCAGGCCCAGAGTTCAGGCCCCACGACCGGACCCAAAAAAAAAAAAATTAAGGAGCAAATGAGGTACTTTACTAATAATAGGAATAGGAAATAGGTTTGTTAGGTTTAGCCAAAAGAAAACCACCACATGGTTCAGGCAGAAAAGAGTTTAGTGGGGGAAGCATACTGCCAGCCCTCATGAGATGGAGGCATGCAGAGAGGGAAGGGAAGAGAAGGGGAGGGGCAGGGAGGGTAAGGGGTAGAGAAGGAAAAAGGGGAGGAGAAGGAGAAAGGGGGCTACTTCTGGTGGGAATGGAGTTAATGTAAGGGAAAGGGCAGGGAGGAGGTGTGGACATGACCTTAGTATCTGGGAACCTCCCAAGGTCTAAAGGAGACTTGAAGGGGTGGTCTAGGATGTGACCTCAGAGAAAGGGGAGGTCCCTGCCCCCAGGTGCACAGATTACTTGGGTTACAATGCTGGGCAGGACAGGGGAGGGGGCTTCTTGGAAAGGGCCACATGTGTGCACCCAGGAATAGTGGGCAAAGGGCCATTTTTCCAGGGCACACCCAACAAGGTTGACTCTTTTAGGAGAAGTCTGAACAGGGATGATGGGTATATGAAAATATAACAACATAACCTGGAGAAAGAATCCTTAACATTTGAAAGAAAATATAGAATTTGGTTTTAAAAATCCCACTTTCTGCACTCCCTTTTCCTGCCTACCCCAGTCACAGAGAAATAACTTTTGTCCTTATCAACAATTATCAACCTTTGTCCTTAATAACAATGGCTTATGTTTACTGATATCTTGCTGTTTGCTAGAAAATGAATAATTACAGAAAAAAGCTTAGTGCTCTCATGGAGCTCGTATTTTATTGGAGGATAATAGATATACTGTGTAATAGATATACTGTGTAAAAGATATACTGTGTAATCTTCCTTTCCAGTCTTATAAAGTTGATACCTGTTTTGTCTTGATCTATTTTTGAAGAATGTGAGGCATGCATTTGTATTTGCCTGTAGTCACATGTCTAAGTGAGGTCTGCAGAATCTGCTCTATTTGGATGCTGTGTTTTTTTTCTCATCTCTGTTTTTGAGTTGTACAATTTTACACATTTCTTGAGAACACGGGAAATGTCTATCTGGTAGTGTTGTACATACATGCTCTGCCTTCACTCTCACACCAGAATTGAGCTGAGCACTTCTTGGCAGCCAGTGCTTCCATTTGTATCCAGGAACTCTTTCTTCCTTTGTACTCAGTTATCTGATTGCAGCAGATTCCCCTTTTCTCTACTACCTGAGTTTCTGCTCTCTTTACTGAAGATGTATGTGGTATTATTACTTTTTTATTTTTGTATTCATATTCTTTCCCTTTTAATTACTTGTCTAGGAAACAAGTCCTTACGAGTTATATATACTAACTAATTGTTTTCATCTCTTTTGTAATTTATTTAAAATTTATTTTATTAGCTAATATTAGTTATACAAAGGGGAATTTCATGTTACATTTTCACATGTTTACAATATGTTACAGTCAATCTCGCCTCTTCTATCAATTTTCCTTTTCCCTTTCTTCCTTTTCCAAAACAATAGCAACAGGTTTCCCTTTCAATTTTCATAAATGCAAATAATCTATTCTGACCATATTTGTCTTCTTTCAAAATGTATTGAAGAACTCTTCACCCTCTATTCTGTATTATTCTTTTTCCCTTTATTCTCTCCCCTTAAGTAATCCCTTATTACAGTCTCTCTCTCTCTTGATATATATATATATATATATATATATATATATATATATATATATATATATATATGAACATGTCTAGATCTATCTTTTAAGGAAAAAGTAGCACCCATGCTATTTTCTCCTTTTATTCCATTGTAGGAACGTGTATAGCCCCAACATTTCCATATTGTATTTTTCAGTGCCTGTTAACATAGCATTGACATTTGACACAAATACCTCTTCTTGAAATGCTTTCTTCATTAGATTTCCATTTGTTCAAACTCTTGCTTCTCTGTCTCACCAGTAGGCTTGACTCAATTCTCTTAACAATTTTTCTATTTTTACCCACTTTCCTAATATTAAAATAATATAGTAATTACTCTTTTTATAACTTTTTTCTTTCTATGTGACTTATTTAATTATCTCATAGAATCTTGTGATTGTCAATGCAGTTATACAAATTGTGTTACTTTGCTTAATTATTTATTTCCTGTGTCCCTGAAACAAGCTTTCAAGTTTTTTTCTCCAATACTATTACAAAAAATACAGCAGTACCTCCCTGTAGGTTATATATACTTTATCATCTGGGTCTTTGGGTTTATTATGTAATTTACTGCATTTAGCTAGTAATATGGGGAAGGTTCTATTCCTTCCTGCCTACTAATTTATTCTCCTGTAGCCACTTTGCACAGAGAAATTCTAATTATCTTTCTTTTTTTCATTACTTTCAGTGACTTCTCATTTGATTTGGATACAATAACAAAATTCCCCAGACTGTATAACTTATGCACAGTAGAAATTTATTGAGATTAAGGTGTTTGCCCATTCAGTATTTGGTGGGGGCCTACTTCCTTATTCATAGATTACTATCTTTTCACTGTGTCTTGTTATAGTAGAAGAATTGAGGGAACTCTCTTAAGATTTCTTTCATGAGGGTACTGATCTCATTTATGTACTTTCTTCATTAATATTTATTTGGAGAGAACAAGGGAAAGGGTAACACTATTAAAAAAGAAATGTACTCTTTGTCTGATTTCTATAACTGTAACCCCCCTGTAAATCACCTTTATAATAACAATGAAAAATTCATAAAAATAAAAAGGGAAAAATAAAGAGGAAGTAAGGCCAGACGTTTCCATATACCACGTAAGGATACAAAGAAGTAGTATGCATCTGCTATCCACAAGGGAATATTCACATGGAACCAAATCATCAGCCCCTGGATCTTAATGTCTGTTGGTTAAGCCACTTAGGCTCTGGTGTTTTGTCATAGTAAACAGAAAAGCAGGAAGATTGATGTGCATGATTTTAGAAATAGATACTTTAAGAGGGTTCTTATGAGGCTCCAAATTCACATGAGGAAATGTTATACTAAAGAAAAATTAACTTAGTTTTAAAATTGCAAAGAATACAAGCTAACATCTAGTATTTTCTAGACTATACATTTCAAAGAATGACATTACAGATTACTGATGTGAATTGTCACACGTGTTCTCCAAAAGTCAAATTCTTTTAAATACTATTGGAACCCTGCATAGTCTTCTAAGTTGCCAAAATGTTTCCACATCTTTTCCTCCATGGTATCAGGATGAACTTCAGTAAAATATTACTTCTAAATCAAAGTATTTATTTATTTTTATTGTTGAGTTGATAGAGGGGTTACAGTTACATAAGTCAGGTAATGAGTATAATACTTTTTGAATCACGTCTCTCCACTGTTGCTCTCTCCCAGTCTTTGTTGGACAAAGTCTCAATAACTATATACAGATGATCATATAAAATAATATTCTATCAAATTCTATTTTTGATAAACTTAGCATACCATTATTGAAAACATGATTTAAAGTCAAGTAGATATTAAACTATGATATTACTTTGACTTTCAGCCTAGCTGATGGTGGACACTTGTAGAAAGGAGTAGGGATCTTATTAGCAGGGTAATTATATTGAAGGTCTTTATTTTTTTTCTCAAGGAGATAAATTTGCTAGGAACGTATAATTCTTAGAAATAGGAAATACATTTTAGGACATCTTATTTACATGAAGTCCTAACGTATTTTCCATAGTATAAGCTTCCTAACAGTCAGATTCAGTCTGGGTGATGAGCCAGTCTTGTCAGCATTTTTCAAATGCTTACATTTAATATGTATCTAATAGAATGCCATAAATAATAAGAGGAAACTGGGACATTGACTCACAAGTTAGGTTGGCCAGAACTATTGTACTGCCATCTGTGGTAAATTATATGCTTTTGCACATAGATTAAAAGAAGGAAAATAATTTGTAGTGCTTAAACTTAAATGAGCTATACTTTGATGATAAATGGAAATCTTGAATCCCTGTGATAGCATTCTTAGAGCCCCTACCCTACTTTTATGGCTTTTAAATAAGGAGTGATGTTTATGATCACTAAATATCTCCTCCCAGGTTTATGGAAACAAAAGGCTTTCTTTTTCTAGCTACTAAAATATAATTGGCTGAAGAATAGGAAGCCACAATCCAAGAGCCATTATTATTTCCTCTGTTATCATCTCTATAACTAATCAGTTATTAAATGCAGGAAAAGATGTAATTGTTGATCTCTCTCCTTTTTAAAACATACTTTGGTATACTTTAAAATCTTTGTTTACCATTCAGTTTAGTATAGTAGTACTCATTTTGCTTCTGGATTTGCCCC